TATATATATATATATATATATATATATATATATATATATATATATAGGTGTGTGTGTGTGTGTGTGTGTGTGTGCGTATATATATATATATATATATATAACTGGTGTGTCAATATTACATATGCAGAAGTGATTTTCAAACTTTCATAATGTATACTTACGATGACATAATCGTGCAATAACATCTAGCGCAACATATGCCTCACCACATGGAATACATACCAATTTGGCTTTGCGTGCAGCATTGAGTGCCTGGTTTGCCAGTTCTAGCGTCTCATTCCTTGATGTGACGGCCACTTTGTCCTTTTTCAACGCTCCTAAAACATTAGCTATATTCTCCTGCGCATTAGCATTGCCCTTTGCATACTCCTCGAGATCCAGAGTTATTGCAGTCGCGCTGAGCTGTGGTGTGTTGTTCTTGTTACTAGCTCCAATATAAGCCTTTTTCTCTTGTTTGGTGTACTTAGTCTTACTATACACCTTATTCTGGGGTGTATTACTCTCGTACTCTTGCCTCCGTTCGTGTTTCATTTGTTGCTTACGTTGTTGCCGTGAATACTCCTCATGTTCAGCTGGGTCTATTGACACTGTGACATATGGACATCGTATCGATTTTTCTACTCGAACCTTCAGTGACTGAACTAATACCGGGCTGCTGTGCTTTGAATTTGAACAACACGCTGCGATAGGTCTCCCACTACTTATGTGTCGGAAAGACCTGCTGAGTGCACGGCCGGTAGTATACATGTTGAATTATTTACCTTTCCCTTGTACCAGCAAGGTATGTACCGGTGTGTATGTGTTGGAACGCACTCAAGTTTTGTAAGTGTTGCTGGTATCGACGCCTTTCGGGCAATGAGGAACATAACTATTAACTACACTTTCCAGTTCCTTTTTTCGGGCATGGAACTATGGATGTGTACTGTTGTATGCTGGTAGAAATAGTCGCACAGATTGATTGTTCAAGTTTTAAATGAATATATAGTAAAAGCTTTTGTTCTTCTGTGACTCTGCCCCCTCAGCGGCCAGCATCTGCCCTCATCCCCCCGCCAGTTGAGATGATATTGATTTTTATCTAAAAATACTTTTTTATCCTGAAAACGTGAGCATTACTATTTTGTGGCCCAGGAAGTATTTTTTTGACGAAAACATTCTAAAAGAAAGTGGTCCGGATCTTATTTTTTTTGGGGGGGGGGTTTTGTCCAATTTTTAATATTGTTTTGGACTACTGACGACAACCAACCACAGTCATCAGCGCAAAATCTTGACAACACAACTCACAACCAACTCACAACTTCACAACTCACAACCAACTCACAACTCACAACTCACAACCAACTCACAACTCACAACTCACAACTCACAAGTCGCGACACCATTTCTCTCTCTCTAGAAACCCCCCAATATCCTGCTTTATTTTATTTTTATATTTTTATATATATAAAATGCCAGAACTTGAAGAGTTGAAGTGCTGAAGTTCTGAAAGCCAAAAACACCCAAATATGTAAAACAAACAGAAATTTGCTGACTAATATTTTTCAACGTATTCGAACTCTATTGGCTAAAAATATTGTTTAATATATTACTATTGGAGTATTAAAATAGATATACCCGGTCTTTAAAAAAAACATATATCTATAGACTATTTTACTGTTTTAATTGACCAATAGGAAACTATAATATATATATATATTATTTGCTACACTGTTCTTAGTATTCAATATCTGTTGTATATTATTTATATGTCCCCTATCCATTTATCTCTCTGGATCTTGACCAAAGAGTCACTCTCCAAATGTGTCAAATTACAAATAATAGTAAACGACATGCTCGTTTTATGGTTTTATGGGGGGGTTTTTTAAAAATAAAATAAAATAACAGAAAGACAAACGTTGTCGTTTACCAGGTCAGGTGCTATGGTAAGCCACCAATGGAAAAGTCACTATGTTTTTTTAAATAAGATTTAGGCTCCAATCGTTGATATTTATAATCGCTCTCAAATCTGCCAAGCTTCCAGATTCAAACCCAAAACCCTAGATCCATTTCTAAATGTAATCAGTAATCGCTATTATTATAGTTGCATGTGCACCCTTAAGTATATGATATCACTGATACATACGTGGTGATTTGAATACTACGTACTTTTGTATTAATCTGATCATATCTGTCACGCAGTGTCCCATTCGCAGGCTTCGATGAGCGTGTGATTGCTATCACGTAAAGCAATCTGTGGTTTTGTCACCGGCAGACATCAAGAATCCTATCCTTTGTTATTGTTGTTTTCTCCTGCGTTTATTTCGTCAATCAACCCATTCGGGTGGAAACAGGGCATATGGTTATTCTAATTATACAAGCCTCTCACTTGTAGGTAGTATTCTACTTTATGTAGTATTCACGTATATATATATATATATATATATATATATATATATATATATATATATATATATATATATATATTGATTTCACTTGTGCCTGAATAGATTCTCCCGAGTCTAACGACCCATCCATAAGGGTCAGGTAATTTGAATCCGTAGGTTGGCACTGCTCATATATCTGGTCCACCAAAACATCGGAGTCTATATCGGTGTATATACCATCCCAGAGTATGTGTTCAAATCGAAAAGTACCATAACGGTCAATAACGAACTATAGTACATCGGAAAGGTCTACAAGGCGTAGTATATGGGTTTGCTTTGGGTGAAGAACTATCTGGAATAGATATACAAGCTGTACTTCATCGAATAAATCAGAAAAATTCTACTTACGCATAGCATAAGGATTCATTTCTGAGTATGCAGCGATCTGTGGTAATGCCTCGAGGTGTCAAAAGCCGAAACTTCGATGTTAAGGTATGATAGGTGAATGCGCTCTCTATCTTAAAGTCATGCAAAAAAACAATGCTCACTGGATTGACCTCATTTCCATGAACGATGGGTGAATTTTAAAGCCTTGTCAAGGGAAGACAAGTGCATGCTTTCTATTTGTTAAAGTTCACATTGTTGTATTATAGGTGATGGTGAATAGGTTTTCCCTGCTTAAGTGATGCTTAGTTATGCTGAGTGGATGCGTTGTCCTTATTCAAGTCCGTTACAGAGGTGTACGAGTATACATTCTGGTACGATAGCATTTATTGTAGTACTGTTCGCAATATTACCTGGACTATTTTGAGTATCAGGTGAGGTAGGTAAATCACTTTAAGTCTTGACGGTTGCAACATTGGGTAAAATTTCATGTATGCTGAAATTCGTTATATATATATATATATATATATATATATATATTATATATATATATATATATATATATATATATATATATATATATATATATATATATATATATATATATATATATATATATATATATATATATA